AGTAGTTAGTCGAACATATAACTGGTATTTCTTCTTTTCTGCCCAGTCATGTGGAGTATAATGATAATACAAACTACGCAAACGAGGTTCATTCTGATGATGTGCAGGTACATCTCTGGCTAGAATTCTTTGACCAAAATAGTCTACATATTGATCATCAGGAATTCTTATATCACGAGGAGTTATACCTAAATACTTCTTCTCGTCAGGAGTATTATCGTTTCTCACCATATTCCAAACTCGTTTTGCCCAAGTTTCAGGTCTCAACTTGAAAGCTCTCCAAGCCCGTTGGATAATTTTTGCATTATTAAATATATGATATGCAGTCTTTTTCCACAATTCATAGTCTGCATCACATCTAATTCTAAAACCCCGACTAGTAAAATCAGTAAATTTACCACAAATCTCATAAATTTCATCTTTACTTAATTCTAATGCTATTCTTCCTCCTTTTTTCTGAATAGGATTAGAATATGCAAGATGCTTTTTAGTGGATTTAGTAATGCATTCATTCAGATGATTATTCGCATATTCAATTGTATTTTCACGAATAGTTACTAAGGAGTCGCATATAGTGCAATAAATATAAACTGAGCGCTCTCCGACTCTAAATCTCCCATCCTTATATGATCTTTCAGTCATTTGGATAAAAGCATTCTTGGAGAAGTATTTTGGGTTATATTCAAGAAGTTTCTTAAAAGGATAACGAACACGAGAACACCACATTTCTGGTGTTTCACCGCTATACCTATATTGCAGATTGTTTAGCGCCTGCACCACTATAGGGTTTAAACCAGAATAGTAATTAGTTCTATCTATTTTGCGGATATAGTAAATTTATAGCTATTTATCGATTTATAGAGTTTACACAAGATTTAGTGATTTATAGCTGATTTGGCAATAGTATACTCTAATAAATATCAGATTCATTTTTATTCGAATATTCGATTACAAGCATATCGGGATTTATATCCCTTTGGATTTTATATTTACATGCGCTTTCGGCTAAATCAGTTTGTGGCATGATGTACTGTATATCGTATCACATGTGATCTCCACCAGTTCCATGCCAGTCCCTCGATAGTTCTGGGAGAGTTCCAGGAGCTGGCGAGTTTTCATAAATCACGAGATGATTGGCCCTATAAAAAAATATACAGACATCATTCCGCATATAGCATACATTAAAAAACATTAGGAGATTAAAAAGGAGAAAGGCCCGAACTTTTATTATTTATGATAATCATGCCTTAGCCGTTAAGGCGCTTCGCACAATACAACATTTTAAAAAGTGCTAAACTACATCCGAAAACTAATAAAAAATCCTAATACTAGTAGTGAGGGTGTTCTGAGCCGGAACAGTATCACGTGACTGTGGCGCAGTAATAGGAATCTAATCCTTGAAGTTTTTTATGATATATGCAACCTCTGGTCTAGTTAGATCTGAAAAACTGGATGCAGTGAAGGATTTGATACGACGAATCTTATCTTCACCAATCACGCTAAAGATGTCATAAATTTTTCTGGCTGTATCTACTCTCTTGCGTACCATAGACTTGTTCATATGATCTGGGAGTTTGTCCTGGACTTCACTATTCAGGTCTGTATGTGCCGTCTGTGGAGGTTTCTTCTGCAATAGTACGGCTAGACGCTCAGATAGAGCTTTTCCAAATCGAAAATAATTCAGAACTACATCTCTATTTGCTTGATCCCCTTTCTTTTCAGCAACGTCAATGTCGTAGTACATCTTGTGGAGCTGGTTGGATACATCTTGCATGTTCAGAGCTTCGGAAGGTGCATTAATTGATAGCTCATCAAGTGTAAAGACAGACAGCTCACGAAGGATAGTTTGCGCCTTTGAACCTCTGGCAGTTTTCTGTCCACCCTCTTGCCTCTTTCTTTTTCTAGGTATTTCAGGTGAAATGTAAAAACCTTCTTTTTCCAAATCATGGTTTGTCGGACACTTAGGACACAACTTGCGATTAATTTCAATACATTCGAAATGTACTATATGTTTACAGCATGGGAAAGTCACAAGTGGCTCTGAAGGTTCAGTAGAGATTTCTAGAGAGCACTTTGCACATTTGTTGGACTGTACCGGATCGCTATCACTAACGTGGCATGTACCACAACTTAATACTCCTCTTCTATCTGCACAAGTCCGATGATGAATATGCCCACATACATTAATTACAACAGATCTGGGAGGGTTGTCTGATAAAATTGGTTTTTTGCAATAGGTACATAGGCCATTGTCTGGGATGGAGACATCACCTGTCTTTACCGCTGAAAAATCAGGCTCCTCACGAAGTATGTCTTCAGGGAGATATTTGAGGATATTTAATGCAATAGTTTTGAGATATTTATTACGATTTGGGGTATCTCGATTTTGTTGTCCCGCACTTTCGATAATGACTACGTCCTCCATACTGTTTAAGTCCACCTCCTCATCCGTAATAGATAGGTTTTCTACACTTGGCGGATTTTCCACCTCAGATGAACCCTCCTGGTTTTCCATATCTACCTTCGATACTCTAGCTTTGAATATATGTGAAGGTGAGATGTAATTTTGGGATCAATCTAACCCGCTTTTATATCATTTGTAAAATTTGCAGGAGAAAACATTCCCCGGATTTTCATTAGCAATTACGCACCGCATTTTGTCATTCCGTTAATCCCTTACAAATCAATAAAAGAATGACGAAGGATTAGCATATACACCCCCAAACCCCATATGCGAAATAATGATTGCCGGCAAAGATATCCATACCTGAATATTGTTTTGTAAGTATGATAATAGCGTGGCGCGCTTGTCGCTGAGACATGACATGCGAAAATAAAGTCGAAAAAATAATGTGAATATATATGCCAATCTTACGTCGCACAGCCCCTATTCTTCGGCAAGAATTTTCCCGATATCTTCTGCGCAACTGGCCTATGCAAAACTGTTACATCTAAGACAATATTACTATACCATTCGCATAATTCCTGTGTTTTCCATTGCTATGTATTTGTTTGAGGAGTATAATATACATATAAGGTAAATCATGTGTGAAATTGTAAGGATGTTAAACCGCACATTTATCAAAGATAGATCGTTGGAAAAATTCTGAATTAGTATACAAACATGGTGATAAAAAACCAAGAACCTTGTAAACGAAAACTTTATTATTTCATAAATTGCTAGGTTAAATACAGAATACAGATATTTGTTTTACAATCAATATTTGAAAGAACATATGCTAAATATATGAATAAAAATTTATTTTTCATTTACTTTAACTCGCTTTGAAGGATGTTCACTGTTTTTATCATAAAGATAAACTTGCACTGTTAATATCTGAGCAATATATGTTAATATTTCTTTTTCGTCTGCCAATTCACCCTTGAAATTGCATGTATATTCTTTGCTAATATGAACTTCCGGATTTTCTGATGATCCACTCCAACGGATAAATCGCCATAGCTTTCCAGTTGAGGCTATTCCATAGATCAATAATTCCTCATATCCTAGTTTACTTAATTGTTCAATTCCACTCTGAGCCTGCACAATAGCTTGAGAAGATCCTTGGTTCATGTCTTCAGCTTTTGCTTCGCATAAAAACAACAAAATTTCAACTAACTTTACCCAGTAATCTACAGGACCATACCCGTCTAGTCCTTGCTCCATGTCTAATCTTACTGACTTATTTATCTGGGTTCGTATATAATCAACTGCATGCGTCATGAATGCGTCAATGTATAAACGATTCTTCGTCTCATTTCCGAATTCATCCCGAAGTGAACTAAGCTTAACTTTAATTTCGTCAACAAATTTTGTCAATTGATTCTGATTAAATGGCGGATCTAATGGGGGAAGCTCTGTCATGTCAAGTACCGGCATATCGGAAAGTGAATTGTATGTTGGTTTTTTTAGTATGTCCTTAAACACGTCTTTAAGCTTCCAGTCACTATATTTCTTTTTTCCCTCGATCAAAATTTTTAATTTAAGCACAACGTTGTTGTCTTGTGCTGTTTGAGACTTTACTACGGTGTTAAAGTTGTATGCGTTCCAGATCTCCGTTCCATCATTTACAAAATAAATAGTTCCTTCCTCTAAATCCTTAAATATTTCTCTAGCAAGGGCTTGCAACTGATCGAAAGAACCACTAGTATGTGGTATTTCGCGTTTGCCCTGCTTCTGTCCATACACAAATGTCACCTTAACTGCATTTGAAGGAAACTAATAAGTACTTGCTTGAAGCGGGAAAAAACAAAGCCAAGAAAATAAACCTCACTTACTGTTTACAGCCGAGATCGGGTAACGAACAACGAGCGGGTTCTCAGCTGTTGCTGTATTGGCCAAAGTTTGGACGTCTTCATTTGGTTTAAGAGTATTGTTATGATGCAAAAATACAATATTTTGTGGCCTGACATTCGTTAACTCTTCGTACTCGTGTTTGAGAATTCCTTTAAAGTCATCTAAATCTGAGACCTTAGTTATGTCCGCTTTCAACTTTAAGGGACTAGGCGAGCCTTCAAGAAGAACCCACATTTTTACTATGAACGGACAAGCGGAGTCTGTGCGTTCTATAAATTCAAACTCAGTCATAGTTTATCAACTGCGGATATACCAATTTAGGTTAGGATGTTTCAAAGCAATAAAAAAAAACGACCAGAATAGGTTAGAGAATAGAAATTGATCTTATATTTACTGCGCGGTCGTAAAAATTGCAAATTATTTTTTTTTTCAAGTTTCATGAATTTTTTTGACAGGTATATATATACTCACATTGATATGTTTGATTTTCACACGATTATAATAACAAAAGCGCAATTCTAACTCAATTTGTTTCACAATTGAAAGATTATAAGCTAAAACAAGCAATATGACAGTGATGGGCAAGATTATCATAGATTGCTTATTCTTCGGCAAATTTTACCGATACTGTACTGCGCATTTCAGGTGATCGATTATGTCATAATTGCAAATTTTAATTTATTGCTTGAAGTGTTGCAGGTGAGACAATATTCCAACTTATCTTGAGAATAGAACTTCGCTAATTCAGGATCATAAGGGAGCTGATTCCCATTTTCGCAGTACCATGAGCCATGTAATCCATAATTCCCATGTTTTCCATCACAGATAGGGCATGGTGAACTCCACGGCTGAGGTGATGTAAAATCATAATTATCAATCCCTCTGAAACTATTTCCGAATTTCAAGTATGGGAAGTGCTCTAAGACGGATTTGATAATTAATTCTGGATCGGGTTTGGCTTCGAAGGTGATGGGCCCTTTTTCTGGCTTTGAATTTATAACTTCCGATTCATGTACTTCTGATAGTTGCCATGGCTCATTTCCAGTTTCTTTTTTATATCTTTTGTATAATTTGGAACGAATCTTATCTGTCAAAATACTTGGTAACCCAGTTAATTTGGCATGCCAATCCAG